TTTTAGGGACAGTTCCTGGAAGTAGAACATGACCATCCCATTGGCCTGAACTTAGTCACATCTAGTTGCAAGGGAATTGGGAACATAGTCTTGATTCCAGAAGCCATGCACCCAGCTAAAAATCAGGAGGGTTTATATCATGGTAGAATGGACATGGCGCTGCACCAGGGGATGGTATCTGCTACAAATACCAAATGAAGGGTGCTGACAATGAACATTTTAGAAGTTAAAATGCGGGAGATTAACGCGGGCAGGGTCCAGCAGAGAGGGCTGCAGAGTGCAAGGGGACCGGGGCTGACTTTGAAAGAGGGCTACTCCGCCCAAGTACAAGAACACGTGAGCACTCTTGCCCCAGAGTGAGCATCAACACCGTGATCACGGTTATTACCTGGGAGGTCTCCTGCCCAGGATCCAGGCAGTGAGGCTGCCCTGGAGGCAGGCTCGCTCCGCTACAGGCGCGCGGGCAGCAACGGCCAAGCCGAGGACGGCAGGGCCAGGGGGCGACCAGGCCTCCGGCCAAGGGCACGCGACCCCCCGACGCTTCCCGGGTACTCCCCCAAAGCCCGGGAGGCGTGGGCACCTGCGCGGGGCGGTGCCGGGGAAACGCAGTCATCGCCTCAGGGCACGCCAGCCAATGGGCGGCCTCACCGATGCGGTAATGCCCCAACGCGGCGTTTCATTGGCCAGCTCTCTTTCAGGTTCCAACTATTTATTAGATTTTTTTTTTTTTTTTTTTTTTTTAAGAAATTGCAAATAGGCCAAAACAAAATCCAGAGGACAGGGAAGGGATGCCTGAGCACAGATGGGTGGGAGAACACGAGGTGCAGCGTTGGCACGAGAAGCCCTGTCTGCGAGCCCCAAGGTGGAGACGACTCCCCCAGCCCTGTGCAGACAGGAGAGCCCGCCCCTCCCTCTCCCGCACCTGCTGCACTTTGGGGTCAGCAGAGGAATGTCCCCCGCTGTTAATGTTTTGTTTTTACTGTTTTACAATTCACATTTCCTGCCGCAGGGTCGCTCAGAGTCCGAACACACCAGAGTGTACTGTGAAGCTACAACAGGGACAGATAGGTTTGTAGGAAGCGGCATTTCTCAAAAGCCAACCTCTGAACCTTTTATTCCCAGAGCACATCACAGGTCCAGCGTTCCACAGAACACACCCTACAAAAACGCTCTGGTGGAGGATCCGTCCCGCCAGCATCCCTGGCTGGTCAGGAATGCTCCGAGGGCCTCCTTACTCCGGCTGTTCTCCCTCCCACACATTCACCTGGGCGGACAGGCTCTGGTTAGTTAGAAAATTGTGACATAGCAAGGTATGAGCAGCAGCCCCTTGTCACCTTAGGCCCCAACTGAGGGTAGGGGGTGGGAGATGGGGTTGGGAGGTTTGGGAATGGGAAACCTGACTCTACCTCCCTTCTTCCCATTTGCACCACAGAGCTGGATCCCAGGTGGCCAGATCCCCTCTAACCGACAATGATTGAGGACCTTCTCAGTGCCCGCTTCTTCTCAGCGCCAGCTCCTTAGGTGCTGGACACAGATTCTGCCCTGAAGGTGCTCCCTGGAAGGGCTAAGAAACAGAGAAATAAGCAGGTCATTGCGATACAGTGTGCTGGGTATGAGAGTCAAGGTAATGTCAGATATGAGAGTGACTCAAAAGACGGGAATGATCTTGTCTGGGGGAGGTGGGCAAGCCGGAGGAGCTGTGGCAGAAGGGGATCAGAGAGCATAAAGTCGAAAGTCTGTGTTCGAGATTGTCAAATGAAAGCCACGCACAGTCCAGGGGCTTCAGGAATGTTCTCGACTCAGGGAATAGGGTCTGGAATCTGGGAATCAGGCTCTCGTTCTCCTGGGACAAGAGCGAGCCTGGGAGTACAATGAATCCCCAGTGCTTCTGCAGAGGCTCGGGAATCCTGGGCTCGTGCAGGCCCTCCCTGGTATTAATACTGCAGCTCCCAGATTCTGCTTGAAACCATAGAGAGTGCTTTGGTCAGAAGCCAGCAAGTCCCTCAGCCCCAAGCAGGGGTAGGCAAAATGCATGGTGGTGACCCAGGAGCCTGGGGTGTCAGTGGTGCGGCAGTGTCTTTGCAGTGGTGGCACAGGGCTGAAGTGTTAAGAGGCTGGGAACAAGATGGAGCAGACAAGGTGGAAGGGGATGAGACAGGAGGAAAAGAGAGAGGAGGAGAGGGCAGTTTGCTGCAGTCCCAGTGCCCTGGGGATCAGTAATTTTGCATCCTGGCCCTAGCCTCACTCATTACTGCCTGTGTGACGTTGGGCCAGCTCCCTTAGCTATCAAATGAGCTGCAGAGAGACGCTGCCATCTCTACAGCCCCCTCCTCCTCGAGTGGCATGAGCATTCTCTTTTCTGGAAGGTCCCTTACCAACTGCAGCGGCTACCACTGTGAAGAGCAATGAGCAGGTGGGTGCAGATGGCAGTGGTACTGATGGGAGGGTGGGGGTGCTGGTACCCCAGGATAACTCAAAAGTGGTACAGGCTGAAGCCCTCCCTCCCTCCTTTCTTCCACCTCCTGCCTGCTGAGCCCCCCAGGACCCAGCAGCTAATGTAATCGTCTCCTCCAATGCCCCATAATGGCCTTGCAGCAGTTTCTGCAGGCTCCGCCTCTCTCTGCTGGCAGCAGGCTGCGAGTTCAGAGGAAAATGAGCTCCCTGCTCTCAGGAAAGTGAAGTCAGGCTCCTGAGTCAGCCTAGAACAGCCGCAGGACTGTAACACCCTCTGGACAAGGGGCCTGTGCAGCAGACCCCACTGGGTACCTTTCCCCACAGAACCTACACAGAAGCACAAGGCCCTTTGCTGCTGATTTGATAAGGTGTCCTGTCTTGCGGTTGTTTTCAGACTGTGTTGAGCTAAGAACCCTTTCTTTAAATGAAAGGTGTTATGGAAGCCTAAACAACACATTATTCCATAACGATTTCTTGAAATAAGTGTGTGTCAAGTGCAGTGTTGAGAACTGGGTACACGGTGGTGGCCCAAACAGACTTGATCTCTGCCTTCATAGACCTTGGTCTAGTAGGCAAATCCAACCATAGATGAGTAAATATTTACTAACTCTTCATTGTGATTAGTGTCATGAAGGAAGAAAATGTGGGATGGCCTTTAGGTTGCATTATTAGGAACAATTTCCAGGTCAGGAAGGGATGCTGCTGCATCCAGCAGTACCTGTCAGTGTGAAATCTGGGGCCAAGACCAGGTCAAAGCTTTGGATGACTAATGACACCGAGGAGGAATAAGTTACAAGTTTTTTCTTTTGTTGAGTCTGGTGATGCTCTTATATGGAGTTTAGCATCTTCACCTAGTTGATGTATTTAGATCGTATGAAAAGCTCTGTGCTTTCTGCTTGTTGTTGAAATGCAGCCTGGTTTCCTTCTGGCCTCTCGGGGTGTGGGTGGGAGCTGAGGAGGAACAGGCAGCCTCTACACGCAGGTGGGACAGTGAGCTCCTGCCTGGTGGTCTGTGCTGGCCTTCCCCACAATGCAAGCCAAGGCAGCAGCTCCCACCTACACCCCAAGAGACCAGAAGGAAACCAGGCTGCATTTCAACAACAAGCAGAAAGCACAGAGCTTTACATACGATCTAAATACATCAACCATGTGAAGATGCTAAACTCCATACAAGAACATCACCAGACTCAACAAAAGAAAAAACTTATAACTGAGGAAACCGAGCTAATAGTCTAATCAGAACAGAAACTTAAAATCTATATACTTAGTATCTTGGAGAGATGTGGGCGGGTATCTATATATCAAATGAGAGCAGATTATTACATATCAAGAGCTAGCAATTATGAAAAGAAACAGGGAAATTCCCAGGAGTGAAAAATATCAGTATTCAAAAATCTTTCTGGCTATAGTGAGGAGAACGAATTGCAAGGAGGTAAGACACATTTTAGCTGGGTAAGAGATGATGTGGCTTTGGCTAGGGTGTAGGCAGAGGAAAGGGAGAAGGGTAGATGGATTCAAAATACAGTTTGAATGAAGAGTCGGCAGCATTCGCTGACCTCTACAGCATCTGAGTGTGAGGATGAAGGAGAGGGGGCCCCCTGGGATGATGTCTGGAATGAACACAGAGCTGCCCCGATTAGAGATGCTCAGGAATTATAATGAATGGCCCCCTGCAGAGACCGCAAAGGCTTCTTTACCCCTCTCCCTGCATCAAAATGAGGTAGCCCTGCCATCATACAATCCTCAAACTGCACCCTTGAGTCTTTCTCCTCTTCCTATCCTTATCAGACACCCAGAGGGCTTGAAAGCAAGAGCCAAGCTGCATCCAGCACTGAAGGACCACTCTATTTATTCCTCCCTGATGTCTTCAGGGAGAGTCTGGTTGGTGAGGGAGGGAAGTGTGACTATTACAAGTTGGGTTCCCTGGAAAGCAGACCCTAAGACGGAGTTTTTTGTGCAGAATGCCGACTGAGGGGTCAACACCTGTGTAAGGAGGAGGAAGCAGTATGCTGAAACAGAAATTGAGCCAAGGTCAAAGACAGCCTTGGTCAGTCCCATGGGGGCAGGGCTTGGGAGATCAAATGGCCCTTCAGAGTTGTTTTAAGGTGGTCTGAGATGGCCAGATCTTTATGTGTCCACATCGATCAGTTATTAGATTTGGGCCCCATGGGCATAGGTATGACATCAGTAAGGCTGCTCTCTGCAGCCCAGGCGACCTCTGTGTGCTAGCAGCACTCTGCACCACGGGGACTACAAGTCCTTATTGAGGGGGATCTAGGTGGCACTGTACGGCGTTCACCATAGTGCCCAATGCCAAGGTAGCCTCTCAAGTGGCTTGAGGTACAGCCTTGTACATGCCACGCTGTACTTTGTATGTACCTGCTCTGAAGTCATTCCTGAACATTATCTCCAACCTTTGGGGGAAATCAGAAGTTCAGAAGCAAGGACAGACCTAATTAAAACCAAAGAGACCGTATATTAAGGTAGAAGAGTAAGGAATGCCTTTATATCAATACATAGTCAGCAAAAAGCGGAAAGCACCTCACCTGTGGCAGACTGCATCATCTAAGAAGAATGTCTGGAAATTTACATTCTGCAGTTCAGATTCTACCAGTTCACAACATAAATATCCTGTTGAGAAAAGCAAGTCTCACTCAGTTGATAAATATAATCCTCTCTGCTGCTTTCATTTCAGTTTTGAGATGACCTGGCTGGCAGTGGGCTGAACCAGTCTCTCAGAACCCTTTGAAGCACTGGATGCAGGCTGATGAGCTGCCATAAATGTCTTTGAGTCCCCACACTGCTCAGGGACTGCATATCATACCAAAGTCTGCCTGTGTGATCTTTTAATTTGTGAATGTAAAAACTGAGGTGGGAGGCAAATACTGATGTTCTCAAAGACCCGTCTTGGCTATTCCGTTCAAATCGGTTCCAGAATCTTCAAAATTCTGCTTCTTCAGCTTACCTCCTGCCTCAGACTGTTTCCCCAGAAGCATCCTAGAGATGAGGATTTGTGAGAAAGTGATGTATTGGGCAGCGTCCCCTGCAGGGAAGTGAGGATGCAAGACAGTGAGAAGGAAACCAAGCAAGGGTGCAATGTCAAGCAAGGTCCCATGCTTGCAGGGTGCCCGGCTGCTCCCACAGAGGAGGATTGGAGACCGAGAGCCCCTCCCTCCATTGGTCAAGGGCCATCTCAGAGGGATGCATGTTTCTAGGTACCCCCCACTCTCTCTGTACACAGGCAAAGCAGATTCCAAAAGCATGAGGGCAGCCCTCTCACAAAGAAGCATGGGTTCTGGATACCGGGAGTAAAAGCAAACTCAGAGCCAAGGGGCATGAAAATGGGAAAGGGACCCAAGGAAATAGAGTAGTGCACACACCATGAGTAAGTCCCAGTCACTGAGTCAGCACCTGCCGTGTCCAACACCATGCTAAGTATCACGGACAGGAGAGAAGTTACTAGACTTCCCTGCTGCCATCCTTAACGGTCTATTTTCTCTTCCCTAGACACCTCAAACTGGGATTTAAGGTACATAAGCTCCCAGAAATGGCTTCCTGGAATTATGGCCATGAACATCAATGAACTGTTAGGGCCCATAGTTACATCTGAAAAATGACGGCCGTTTCAATTCACAGTATTAGTTACAATAATAGCAACAGCCAAAATAATAATGTGGCAGAGACTAGCTTGATGCTCATCACATCTCTACCTGGGCACATAGCAAAGTCTTTTATTCCAGTTCCCACCCTGCATCTCGGGTCCTAGTTCTCAACAATGAAACGCTTCCAAGCCAAGTTAAGCAGCCACAACTTTCCAACAAAAACTTAAAGATCCTGTGTTGAAGACAGTGGCAACTTAAAAATGCAAGGGTAGTATCCTTGAGTCCTCAGGTCACCAGAAAGCCACCCAGTCGGGACCATTGACACTAGACTCCGTGTTAGTAAGAAACAAACTTGTGTTAAGCCATCATGATTTCAAAGCTGTTAGCAGTTAGTTTGCTCCAACAGGATGAGCACTAATAAACACAGTGGTAACAACCCGCTGGGTAGTATCATTATTCTCACTTTGTTGGTGAGGAACTTGAGGCTCAAAATGGTCAGAAAGCTAGCAGATGGCAGAGCTGGTATTTAAAGTCTATTTTTTAATCCCTATCCTGCGCTCCTTGGTCATGTAAACCTTGTGTGACTATATTTGATGCTTTAATGGAGCAAAGAGGATAATATTAAAATATTGGGTTTCTTGGGTAGGATATGGAGTGAGGAGGAAGAACACAAAACAGAAAGGCTTCACATGTCAGAAACCAAACTTTGGGCACTCCACAATTTTGCTAAAGACTTCCCTGCCTGCTCACATCTGGTCTGTTCTCCAGTATCCTCACTGTATTAAAGTTGTTTCTTTGTCACATTTTGCTCATTTTTTCTGGTGTGATTCTATCAACTACTTGCTACCAAGGAGAAGAAATGAGATGAACAAAGGGGTATCCCCCAAATCCCCAAGGCTGTGCCCCTCAAGTTCAAGAAGAGAAACCAGAGAACTCTTGTTTAATATGGATGTGTTAGTTGCCATCCCCTCTGCCATCCCCCCATTTCCTTGTTAGTAGAACTCTGATTTTGCTCATCTTATTCCAAGTTACCAAGTCCTTTAGGGAAGGCTAGGCTGCCCTCTTACCCAGGACTGAGAGTTCATGGTTGAAACCAGATAGAACAGAGTAATTTCCCCTGCCAAACAATTGGTTCAGGCATGAGATGCAATTTGGGCCAATGGAGCTGAAAGTGAAATCTGCTGATGGGGCTTCTGGGAAGGTTTTTCTTGCAAAAAAAACAACAATAACAACAAAAAAGCAAAACAAAACAAAAGAAACAAAAGCCACAAGATAAGAATGTTTGCTTTTTTGCCTTTGGACTTGGGCTCTGTGTGTTGTTCCTGAAACCAAAGCATCTTGGGTCCATTAAGAGAGAAGTCTATGAGGATAAGCCAAAACACTGGGGATGGCAGAGTAGAAAAATAGAAATAACCTGGATCTTTAAGACACTGGCAAGCTGGTGAATTAATCAACCCTGGAACGGCCATTCCCCCAGACTTCTTATTATGTGAGATAACAAACCATCTAATTGTTCCAATTGTGATGAATTAGGGTTTCTATTACTTGCAGCCCAATGCATTCCAAATGACTCAACTGGTAGTTCGTTCCATGTTCTTTGAGAAGAGCAGAGAAAGGGTTTCTGACTACCACAACCCCTTTCTTAGTGGCTCAGTCAGCTTTCTAAGTAGATTCTTAGCTTATACCCACCACTCTGATTTGTAATTACCTCTTTCCCACTTCTCTTATTCATGATTCCACTAATCTTAAACCCCACATGTTAGAGAGAGTCTGCTGAATTCCAGCATAACAAATTCTTGCATTTACCTTCCTCCCCTCATTGGCCATCTGCCTATTCTTATGGTTGTAAGCAGGAGAAAGATGTTGAAAACCATGAGTCCTGACAGTGCTTAGTCAAGGGATGGCAAATATTTTCTTGGGTTTCCATATGTGAGTAATTGAAAAGAAAAAGGGGAAAAAGGCTCATTTTTACTAACATTAATTAATTCACACAAGGTCACATTTTACATCATTTTAATTAACTTTCATTGAATTCATGTTCAAAATGAGAGGCAAAAAAAAATGTTCACTAATATAAGTCATGAGGACCCTAGCAATAACAGAAAATTGGAAATTTTTTCCTTCTCCTCAAATGCATGGTGGGGTTTGTGAATTTCTGACTTTTCTCCCACATATCCCCTTCACGGATGATAGGAAGAAATAGACTTGAAGGCATTAAATCTTTCTGGAAGCCTTTCCCAATACTTCTCACCCCTGCCTGTCTTCCTCAGCCACTGGTTAGGTCCTCCATCCCTGTTAACGCCCTGAAAACTTCCATCTCACAGCCACTACATTATCTTGAAATTAACTATTTACTTCTTCATTTCCCCCACAGTACTGTGAGCTCCCTGCGGGGAAGACCTTGTGCTATTTATTTATCTTCTAGCATGATACCTAGCATATATTAGGTGCTTGAGTTTATTGAATGAATGAAAGCCAAGGAAACTTTTCTTTGGTTTCATTTTAATTTCACTAAGGATAATTATGTTTATGTTGCTATATTACATTGTATAAAATGGAAATTAAAATGGGAAATTTCTTTGATAATAGCACCAAAGAGCTGCATATGGCAGGGTAGGTGACAGAACACAGCTGGTGGCTGGGCCACTGTCTGAAATGTGGACTTAGGATTTGAGGTTAGTCCTTGTGCCTCACACCTAGGATAAGAGAGGAGTCTTAAAGTACGCCTGGTAGCGCATCTACTCTCTTTTGGGTGGCTTCCAGAGATACTTTTGTTCCATGTTTTGGCTTTTACAACTGTCCCTAAATTAAACAAAGGCATTTGTCTTAGATGAGCTAACAATGAATCTCTAGATACTTGCTCATCTAATGTGTAAATCCCCCACCACTCATTTGTTATCTATCAGAAATCCCCTGTCAGATGAAATTTCATCCCACTAGTGCTTGTTGAGGACATTGATGTGAGCACATTGATATGAAACAAGCCCGACTGCAGAACTGTAAGTCTTTTTTTGGTTGACCCATTTATCTCTTTCCTCATTGTCCACCAGTCACTTAATTCACTGTCCTCCTTGTTCCAACACACCATACGGAATGACCTTTCCCACCCCCATTTGCCACACCAGCATGAAATAAACTGGAGGAAAAAGCAGTAGTCTTCTCATCTTTGGAGAGGAAGCTTTGTATTCAGGAACATTTGAGGCTGGTTTTCCCCATGCTTAGATTTACCTCACTGTTGAAATTTGTAAGTGTGTATACAGTGATCTGCTTCTAAGAAAACCCAGTATTTAGATTTCTAAATGTAGACCCAAATGTTATTCATATCACAAAAAGTTCCCCAATTTCAAAGGAATTGTCCTCCTAGAACTCTTACAAATCAACAATAAGACTGATATCCAAACAGAAAAATGCACAAAATATTTGGATAAGCATTTTCTTTACAAGGTTAGAGGATCTAACCTTTAAATGGCTAATAAACATAGAATATGCTACATTTCATTATTCATCAGGAAAATGCAAGTTAAAGCCATAATCTAATACCAATAGAGCCCATCATAATAGTTAAAACCGAAAATAGTAAGTGTTGTCAAGGATGTGGAGCAACTGGAACTCCTACACACTGCTTTCGAGTTGCCGAATTGCTACAACTGCTGTAGAAACCGATTTGCCAATTTCTGTACAGCTGAGTATGCATATAACCTTGACTCAAAGACTCCACTCTTAGGTATATGCCTAACAGAAATGCACATGTACATTCACCAAAACACATGTACTAGGATATACTAGCAGCACTATTTGTTATAGGATAAAACTGGTAGTTACATGAATGCTAATTAATAGTAGGATGGATATCAAGAAATGGTGATATATTCACACAATGGAATATTTTACAGCAATGGACACAAATTTACAACTACATAGAACAACATGAATGAAATTTACAAACACAAAGCTAAGCCAAAGAAGATAGACACAAAAAAGTATAAACTGTATGAATCCTTTTAAATAAAGTAAAACCTGACAAAATTA